TAATTACGCAAAGTGAACAATAGAAATGATCGTCAAATACTTCCGTTCATCAATAGACCAATTTTGTTATTTTTTCAATTCCGTAGAAAAATGTCAATAGTCAAGGTCTCAAAAAGGAAACCGGTACCGTTCTTTACGTTCAGTTAACTAGAAAAGTATATAGGTCGGTAAATAATATTAATAGCGTTTTTTTTTTTAAAAACGTCATTTTATTTCCTTCAAAGAAATATTCAAATAGTGTCTCACTCATTTCTAATGACACCAAATCAAATCATGTATCTTCTTTTTCTTATTATTTTACTTCATGATTCAAAAGTAATTGCTACTTTTTCTCCTGATACAAGTGATTATAATGCTTATGGTCCTAAAATAGCTGCTAACGATGTTCTTTTTGTCGAAGCATATAGTAATGGAAAAAAATTCGTTGTTCAATTTGCACCATATAATTATACATTTGATTCACTTCAATGTTCAATTAATTATGATGATACAACACATTATGTTTATTCAGTAGGTGTAGGACAAAAACAAACTACAACTTTGAAACCTTACTTTTATTTTGCTGGTGAAGTTGTATCTGATAATTCACAAGGTACTGATACATCAGGAAATAATGGAACATTTATTGGTATTTGGATTAATCAAGATTCAAAAACAATACAACAATATTTATTAAGAAGACAATCTATATCTTGTGATTATTTTGAAGTAGATCATCTGGAATTTATTTCTTCATATGAACATCAAGAATTTTTTGTTATTGCTGTTGAACCTTATGGACAATATGCAATAGGATTAGCAACCGAATTTGGCTTTATTTATCGACCTTTTTCAAGTACCACGATGACTACTAAAGTGGGTACTGATATTTGGCCAAACAATTCTACTTTTAATCCATGTGCGGCTGATGCAAGTGAAACATTTACAATTGTTGCAGGTTTTATTGAAAATTCAGCAAGATCTCGAGTACGTGCAACACCTACTGTTTATTTAATATGGAATACTAACCTTACTGTTTTATCAACATGGTCTTATAGTGCTACTAATAATTCTTGGCAATCACGTTTGACTTATTCAAGTGTTAATACGTGGAGTAGTCAATATACCATGTCAGTCAAAATCAATTCTAATGATTCAACTCGAGTACTTATTGGAATGCCTTTCTTAAATACAGTTTTTTTATTTGTTGTCAGTAATAATGGTACAAATCTAACATTAACTAGTTATTTCGAAAATGGTCAATCAGTTGGTTATGGTACGAGTGTAACTTGGTTAACAAGTTCACAAGCAGCTATTCTTGTTTCAACATATTCACTTAATTATCTAACATGGTATTCATCAAAAATTTATTTATATACATCATTAAATGATACAATTGTACCTTCATCACCATCAGCCGTTATTCCCAATGCTCAACAACCATTACCATCAACTATCAACTCAAAATTAATTCGAATTGTATCAACACCAGCATCTCTTGCAATACTCGATACAGAAGGTGGTGTCGTTCTCATATTAGCTGAAGCATCAGGTTATTATGCATCAACAGATATAAGTAATTCACCAGTAGCTGCTGCAATGCCTGTTGTTAGTCATTCAACCAAATGCATTGGAGGTACTTATAAATCAGATATTGGTATTCATCCTTGTATATTATGTCCAAGTGGATCAAGAAATCCAGGTATCATTGCTAGTATATCATGTATTACATGTTCATCAAGTAGCTTTTGTCCATTGGGAGCTATATATGAAATGAATTCAACTTTACTTACTTCTATATCACAAGCATATGCATATCCTCGTTCACCTGAAATGGATGTATTTGAAGATATTCTTCTTAATAATATGTTTTCATTAGGTTCAACAGGTCATTGTCTAGTAGTTTCACCAGTTTTTTGGACATTAATACTTTTGGCTATCTTTCTTATTTTACTTCTTGTTATGGCTTCACTCTATTGGTGGTTTCCACCAGAGAAACGTGATCGGTTATTGACTATTATTAAGAATATTTTTCAACGAACAGATCTTGTCGTAAGTCTACAAAATCTCTTGTTTGTTTGATTTTTCTTTAGAATAATTCTTGATGATATATTTTAGGGTGAAGGTGAACTCTGGATTGGTGGACTTGCATCAATAGCTATAGTTTTAATAACTGCTATGGCTTATGCTTTTGCTATATTATATATGAATCAATATCCATCAGAAAAAGTAGAAGCATCAACATTTGCATGTGATACTACTATTCGAAATGCTAAATTTCAAACAAGTCTTCAAGCATTAGCTGTTCCTGTGTCTGATGAAGAACAACCAATGTTTGATTTATTAAATGAACAAAATTTTACTCTTTATTTGGATTTCATCAATACACTTTCTTCTTGTATGAGTCTTTCAATTTCCGAAGTTACTGATTCATCAACAATATCTATGAATTTATTATCATGCTCGAATTTAAATGGTACACTTTCAGCGACAGTCTTTTTACCACAACATGATATAAAAGTTACAGCAACACTGAATGATATTCAACTTGTTGGTGGTATTCAAGTTGGTCTTTCAGGTCCAAGTTCAATAAACGGTTCAGATATATTAAAAGAATTAAATTTTCGTCAATCATTTTATAGTCAATCTCCTAGAACTTTTGCCCAAGCAGCAGCCATTGATATAGCACTCACTAAGGTGAGTTAGTAATTGAGATGTTTCTGTTTTTTTTTTCGTAATTGATAGGAGATATGAGTTGACTTCTAACTAATCTTTAAAAATATTTAATATTTTAATATTTCATTTTCTTTTCAATAGGTTGTCAATGAAACAGAACCATTATCTGGTAGTGATTCAGAATTTGGAGGTATATGGTATCCAACATTTACATATAGTCTTAATGAAATGTTCATAACAACTGATACTTATGCTATGTCTACTAATCTAACATCAACTACATTAACAATTGATATAAGTGAAACATCATATTATATAAAAAATGTTCAATCACCTATTGCTAAACAACCAGAAATTATATTTCGTACTCTTTTATTTTCATTTTTATGTCTTGAAATATGTGCAATGACATTTCTTATCTGTAAACTTCTTCTTATTCCAGTATATCGCAAGGTTACTAGTTGTTGTTTTCCTCATTGTATTAACAGTGTTGAACCAGAATATGAAATGAAATCTAATCATCATTAATATTATATAATCTGATAGATATGAATTATCTTTATCATTTTATTTTCAACAAAGTTCCCTAAAATTTTTCTCTTATTGTATTTTATCAATAAAAATAAAATGAATAAAACAAATGAATTATTCGATCAATGATTTAAACGCTCGAATGCCGGAGTCTGTGAGTGTGAGTCTGCGTGCCCGCGAAGAGTAGAGCAACACCCACACCTACGCTCCTTCTGGTTCATCGAAATAGAAAAACAAATGGTTAATAGAATTGCAAAATTTAATAAACATCTGGTATAATTGATATAAGGATTATATTATTACAGTATCGGATCTTTTCAATGTTTTGTCTTTAGTTATGGTAGAAAAGTTATGTTTATTCAATAGGAACATTACTTAACGTTGATAAAGTAGCAAGAAAACCTCTTTAGGTATCAAATCACTGTTTAACCGAGACGATATAATTTTACTGGTGTTTTTTTCAACAAATAACTGTGATCTCCGTCAAGTCATGTAGAAAATCGGCTTTCAAGTTTTGAATGCAAACTTAGCTGGAACAAAATTTTCAATGAGATTAGTTCATTGAGCAAGTTGTAACTTTTCTAGTATTTCCTATTCTGAGATATTCAATATTCGAAATCTTCTCATTTGGAAAAACAAATTTTATTCATATAATGAGTGAAGCATAATAAGTAGCCGCGTTTTACATCCTAATTTTTCATTACTTAATATATTGTATTAAAAGAAAACAAAATATACTACAAATTGTAACGTAAAAAGTTCTATAATTTACAAAAGACATCTTATTTTACAGTTGCACTTTTTGTTTCTAAAATGGACAAAATTCTGTACAACCAAATTTCAGCGTTTCGAAAAAGATAACTTTTTGGTACACAACGAATTCGTTGTTTTCTTCTTATTTCATTAATTAATGAATCATAATTCGTAGTTTATTCCATTGCACATAGTTTGTAATAGCATCCCAAACGTAATAATCGAGAACATTGAGATAAGGATTGTTTTCTAGCCATCTATGATTGTTAATAAATTGCACAAAGCTTTCTTCACACTATGCCAATGATTTCTGATGTGTATATGGTGTGACTTTGTCTTATCGATAGATGAAATTGTCGCCTAGCAGTTGTTCACCTTCAGATCGTACATATGAAAGAACAATTTCAATATAATTCTCTTATGATAATGTTTCACCAGGTTTAAAAATAATTGGAAACATAAGATTGTTTTGAAAAGCATCTAACTACACCGTTTGATTTATACCAACTTGTTTGTTTTGCAGCATAAAACGTGTTCTTATGAAAGATTTTTTTTTTCTTAGTAAGTAGAATTGTCCTCAATCGATGGAATAAAAAAAAAAGCGAATTGATCGTTTATCAAAAGCCGTTATTTGCATCTGCAGAAAAAAAATACTAGAAAAGCTAAAACTTGCTGAATTCAGTAATCTCATTGAGAACTTTCTTAATACAATGTTTGAATTTCAAAAGTCAAAAGTTGATTTTTAACATCACCACAGCTTTTGTTGAAAAAAAATTTCAATATCTCGAGAACGAAGACTCGGAAACTAAATCATTCTAGACTTTTCTATTATTCTGTACCACTCATAAAATGAACATTGTCTCAGTTGAAAAGCAAAATTTTACACCTGCAGCAATTTTTTCATAAAATATAAAAGTCTTTTTATTTGTTTTTCACTCTTTCTTTTTCAATAGTAAATATTAGATTCAAATTTATTTTTGTTTGATTTTCTAATTTTCTCAACAAGAAAATATTCTTAAGTTTTCATCTTCAATACTGTTTTTACTTTCGAGTTCAAAGTATGGAGAATAGAATTTTTCGTTTTTTGCTCTGCTTGGAAAATAATTATACTATTTAGTCTAAAGATAGATAATTCCAATTCGAAAACAAAAAGACTAACAGTAAAAACATGGCTAATTTATTAAAAAATTATTATCTTTTTTTTTTCTAATTATTTTTATCGACCTTTCATATCGAGGTATTGTACAATCATCGATATGATTTATATTGTGTTGACTGGAAAAACTTCATGAATGACAATATAATGAAACCTATTATTCAGTTTTTCTACGTTTTAGTATAAAAATATATTGCGTCAAAATATACAATCTGATGTAATCATATACTTTTTTTAAACATATACCAATGAAAAAAAAAAAAACAAATAAATATGTTTTTCTTGTCCTACAATTTATAATAACATGTCATACAAAATCTTCATTTGTATTCAATGCATTTTATTGGTCAACAATATCTTGTTTCCTTTATTATTCACGCTTGACTGAAAAGTCAAAAAAAAATACCTTTGTCGTCTTTAATAAGCATCGTTGTACTTCTACAGCTCTCTTTCCCTCTCCTTTCATTACTTTATGTATATATATATATATAGATGAATCATACTTATACCTGTATGTATATTTATTTATTTGAGAAAAGAAAAAAAGAATTAATTGACGAAAGAATAAGGTAGATATCTATATGGAAAGGCCTTTTATGTTTTTTTACCTATCATCAATTTTTGATATGATCAAATGAGAGAAAAGATGAAGCGTTTGTCAAGCATAGAAAATGCAGAAGAGAAAAAAAAAATATTTGAAATATTTTTGCACTTATACACCTGCATACAAACATAATAAATAAATGCAACTTCAAGAGCAATATCAAGAAGATTCAAATTCAATTACACATAGTCCATATTATGGTTGTACAATACAAGCTATTTCAAAAGCACATATTTCTTATGAAGGAGTTCTTGATGGTATAAGTATAAATAAAGATCGAATATTTTTAAAAAATGTACGTGTCAAAGGAAATATAATTAATTCTTCTAATCGAGGTGAACAAAAGATTTTTGTTGTTGTTTTTTGTTTTCAATCAATATAGAATTTTTTTTTGTTTGTTTTTGTTACTTAGATAAGTCAATTGAAGGATTTGATACATTAAATACTGTTATGATTGATCATTTGACTAATGATATGCATATATATGATGAAGTATGTTTAAATGTTCGTGATATACAAGAATTAAAACTTATTCGATTACCATCAACATTTCATGAATCTCAAGCTAAATTACGTGCTATTGATCCATGTCTTGTTGATATATGTCTTTCATCATCTGATAAACATGATGGAAGGTCAAATGAATCAATGAAAAGATATCATCAATCAACACCAATAGCTCGTTATTTAGGTGGTAAATCAATTGGAAGTAATGGTAGTAGTGCAGTGATTTCATCAAGTTCAAATGAATCATCATTATCATTCGATTATTTACCTACTAATAAAACTCTTGATGATTCATTTAATGAACAAATAAAAAAACTCAATGAACTTTCAACAACAACAACACATGTTACACCAAAACCAGTTACATTACTTACGAAAAAAGTTTTACCAAAAAAAATTGAACGAAATAATCTTCGTTCAGTATTAACACAAAATCATGAAAATAAATTTTCATCAACAACAGAAATTAATAATACAAATATAATAAAAAAATCAACTATAGATAATCATCGTAAAATATCACCTATACGTGTAACAATTACAAGTAAATTAAATCCAAATGCAACTCCATTTTATGCTCAACAATATTCAACACCTACTACTCAAAATTCATCATCTACATTCTATGAACAAAATCAAATTCAATCAAATGTTCGACCTATTATTTTACCTAATCGTTCACAATCAATACCACATGAAATCAATATAATCAATCGTCCTATTCATCAACAACAACAAAATCAACGTCGTTCTTATCAACGATTTATTCCACCACGACAAATGGCAATAAAAAAACAATTCAATATTCAACCAACAACTAATTCAAATACTTATTTATCATCATATTTAGATAGACGATCTCATCTTAAACAACAATCTAAACATAAAAAATCAAATCATGAACAAATATCAGGTTATACTCGTTTTTTTTTCTTATTTCTCAAATTTTTTGTTTTGTTTTTTAAGGATCAATTCATCAAATATCATCAACAGCAATGGATCAGATATTATCAACACCACCTATACGAGAACGTTTATCAGTACCAATTAATAAGCGACCACGTCAATCACCTGTTATTCTACGTTCGACTGGTAGTCTACCTTATCAAAATAGAAATTCAGGAGACCGTAACCAATTACACATACCATTATCATTTGGAGAACCGATAGGCTCTCATCGTAGTCAACGTACTACTTCTGGTACAAGTAGTGGTAGTAGTTTAAGTACTGATATAGGTCCTCATTCAATAGTTCAATTAGATTCAACATCAAGTGCTTTAACATCTAATGAAGGTCAATATGATTTTGAAAAAGCTAATGAAGAATTTCGTCGTTATTTAGCATTGGAAGAATTAGTTAGTCGACGTTTATCATCAACTTGTTCAATAGGATCTCATCCAGATGATGATTTAAATCAACAACAACAACAACAACAAGAATCTCAAACACATTCATATAAAAAAGAAATGTCTTTTTTTGATCGTATATCATGTACAGCTACAACAGGTACAGCTGTAGCTTATGCTGAAATGGATGAAGTTGAAAAAAATCTTGAAACATTTGGTGATGATGCTCTTCTTATCAGTTCGGATTCAAATAATAATGAATGGCTTATCTAAAACGAACCAATACGTAATTTTGTTTCCTTTCTTTTTTTTTCCTTTTGGTTTGTACATTTTGTTCAGTCAATTTAACACAACATATTTTTCCTATTTTTTAAAACACTGCACTTCTTTATTCTTTTGAACTTTACAATAAAACACCAAGAATACATCAAAACAAATAACTAAATGCATTTATATATTAGATCATTGAAAACAATCCAAATTTCATACTCTTTCTACCTTTATGTTCTTTTATTCTGGCTTAAAGTTAATTCATTGAGAGCAAATATCTGATGGTGATTAAAACCAATGTTGGTACAAAACACTGATTTAAAATGTATTGGTAAATATTTTTCGAACATTGAGATGTCATTGAACAAGTTCAAAAGAAGTCAACTAGAATTAGAATGTAATACTGTTAGAATTTGTTATAGTTTTGATTTTCTGCTAGATCATATACTACAATAAGCTAGAACTTAAAAAGTATCAAAATCTATATAAACTTTTCGAACAGTTACTCTTTACATGAGACGGCAGTTTTCAAAAAACTTCACTTCTTTTGAATTTCAGTATTTAGAATGTAATACATTTTGATTATTTGTAGCAATATCCTGAGTCTTTTGTAGAGCAAGTCTCATTATACAACCTAATATATAAAAATATTTTCTTATAGTTTGAATTGAAACAGTTTTTATCAAAATACAAAACTAACCTACATGAAAAATAATCTACAAAAGCCATTTTTTTTTGGCCCTCCTTCGTCAAAGATTTATTCTCAATGAACTAACTTTAAGCCAGAATCAAGTAACTTATAAGAAGATGAAAAAAATTGACTAGATATATTGTGCAAAGACTTTTTACACATAGGTTAGTGAATAACACTAATTCATTTAAAAATTAATATTGATTATGAGATAGTGTACATTGTAATTCATGATAAACAAAGATTTTTTTGATGAAATAACATCCTATAAATCTGATTTATGTCATAAACTTAGATGTAATTTAATTTAATATGAACAATGAAAATTTATTTAGTTGTCTTCGTTAAAAATGAATCAAGTTTTAGATCTAATCAAGGTCAATACATTTTCCTCTAAAATATTCACGATAATCATTTGAGAATCTTATTTCATCAGTCAATTTAACATAAAAATAAACAACAGCTAAATTTAGTGTATTATTGGACGATAAACTATACGATATAGAAAAGAAAATCGTACATATTTGTTTTTTTTTCTTTATTTACAATAAATAAACTCGATTTCTTTTTTTTTTTGCATTACCCCCTTTGATTCGATTCGTTTGCGGTCACGGATGTGTGAGCAAGCGAAAAAAAAAAGAAAAATAAAAACGACGCGATCTGCCGCAAAACTATATAGTGTGTAATATTCATAACTATTCATCAGCGTTTTTCTTTTCTTTTTTTTATCTACTGAAATAAGTTATAGAAAATATGCAAACATTCATATTTATATTTAATATTATATTATTAATATTCATTCTAAGAGTTGAATCAACATATCATGTTTATACATATGATAATGGTGTTGGTGATGACGAACATTGTTGTTTTGTACGATTAGGTTCAAATTTTTGTTTGGCAAAACCTCTTACACGTAGTTTATTACAAGCCAATCAAGAATGTCAACGTTTGGGTATTAATGGAAAAAATAAAAATGATTTAAATAAAATAGTTCGTCGTTTAAATGTTGAAAAATCAGACAAAGTTGGTAATAAAATAATTATTCAATTAAAAACACCATTAGATAAAAATATACTTAAAAATGATCTTTTATGTTTATCATCAACAAATAATAATAATATTAATTTAGAAAAATGTTTTATTGAAGTAGCTGATGATCAACAACAAAAAAAGAGTAAAGAAAAAAATTTTGATTTATATACAAAAATTTTTCTTGTTTTTTGTTATAGAAAGAAAAGATCGTCTTGGTAAACAAGGTGGCAATAAAACAGTTGATGCAATAGTTCTTGAAGTAAAACCTGAAAAAGAAAATGGTATTCAACTTATTCAAGTTTCTGAACCAATACAAACTCATGAAAAACTTGGTCTTACTTTTCAACAAGTTTATGAACTTAATCTAACTGATTTTCGACCAACAACAAATCAACAACGTCTATGTTGGTCATGGTTTCGTCAACATACAAAAAAATTATGTAATCATCCAAAATATTTTCAGAAGACATGTATTTCTTTAAATACAAAACGAGAAAAATGTCTTCATAGATTATTTTATAAAAAAATTAATGATAATGAAAATGAATCATATACAAAAAATGTTATTACAATTGGTTCAAAATTATATTGTGAAGATATTAATAAACAAGCTAAATTTCTTGGTTATCATCGTCAAAGTGAAATATGTTTTCAAACACATACACAAATATCTATTCGACATAAATTTACAGATTTTGTTAGTTTATCTGATAAAAATAAAAATAAACATGTACTTCAATTTATAGCAAATGATACAAAATTATCAAATGACTTTGAACAGGATTGTCGTGATAAAACAACATTAAATGAAATAAGAAAATCATTAGAAAAACAACCTGAAAAACCAATTAAATCTGATGATAAACCAGCAGAACAAGCATAAAATTTAAAAAATAAAAAAAAGACAAAAAATAAAAACAAAAACTTTTCAAACTTAATATATTTTTTCTTTTTATCTCTTCTCTTTTCTTTTCTTTTGTTCTTTTTTTCAAATCAATTTTAATTAAAATAAAAGTAGTGGTATAGAATATTTGACAACAAAAAAAAAGAAAAATACAAAGTTTATGCTGATTAATATTATTTCTCACAGGATCATATTTAAAACAATTTGAAGAATAAATATGATAAATGATATTTGAATTGATGATGATGCTGAAAAACAAAAAAAAAAAAAGAATAATATATTTTTTATAGATATAATTAATCTCAATAGAATAAGAGAAAATGTTCGAAATATAAAACATTCACATTTATGAATAATAGAGACTACGATTAGAGTTTCGTTTGATATGGACATCCTACATGTTAGATATCGGATTTTATTATATCCTCTAGGTTAGCTTCGTATCAGATGTGTATCTCAATGTAAAATAAAATATTGTTCACAAAAAAAAGGCGTTATTTGACCTTTTTTCTTTCATTAATATTGATAGTTATCATGATTTGTGTATGATTAAAAAATGGTTATATATGTGACATTTTATGATTGAGAATAGCGATTTATTGTTTTATTAGGTTTTTTTTTTGGTCTTTATACTCTGAACATATTTATAGTTTAGTAAAGTTTAAGTCTTTTCTGCAATCGTACATCTTAATAATTTATTGAAGAAAATATTCTTTTTTAAAATTAGATGGAACCATAATTAGGTGGCTACGTTGTTTGACATATTACTGTATTTAAATCTCGGTACTACGAGCTATCGAATGACTCTGGAGTAGAGCTTGTCGGGTTCATAATTTTCAGACTTCAACCGTACTTTGATATTCTCAATGAAGTTTTCTAATCAGAATGGGACAGTCATCCAGAAGATATGAAATACTTTTTTCCGGTTCTATGTATTCGATGAGTAGTGCACCTTACACATTCCTCAGACGACTAGAATTCGTCGAATTCAGAACGAATCTCTGAACAAGTCACTAATAGCTATTTATCTTGGATCACCTGTCCGATAGCATGCTGACTACATTTATGACATACACCTACTCTTATGGCTAGTATATGGTTAGTTAGGTGTACTGTAGGAAAGATATTGGACTATTGAATTTGTCGCAAGGCAGGGATATTCTTCCGAATTAGATGGAATGTTATTTCATTATTGTCGTTGTAGGTGTAGAAAACTTATGAATTACAATCAGAAAATATGTGTTTCTTGTCTTTTGAGAATAGTAATGGAATTCCGATGTGATGGATGGACTATTCTTATGATAATCCAGACAAACATTCTAAGATTTTGTCTATTGAAATCTAATATTTTCGAATGTTTAAATTTTGTTGGCCATTCCTAATACTGCTTATTTACTTCTAAAACAAAACCATTACAATGTGAGCGACATACCATGGTATATTCCTTCATCTTGCAAAGATTTTTGATAAACAAGAAAGTTTTAGCAAAGTTCACAATGAAAAAAAACTACTAATAAACGAAGAAAATAAAATTCAACTTTCTCACTTTTAACTATAAAACTATTTCATATTAATTAATTAAATTAAATTCATCAGTGAAAAAAATACCTACCAAGACAAGGTACTTGATCAGCAGATGTACATCGACCTCTATTTCTATTAAAACGTTGACCATGTGAACAACGACTATGATTTACTACACGATTATCCAAACATTGTATATACGATTGACAATTTGGTTTTGTTCGATCAAGATAAAATCCATTACTATGACCAACACATGATGGAATAAAACCACATAAATTTTTTCCAGCATCATAATTCAATAAATAATGACCTTAAATTATGACAAAACAAAAAACTAATAACCATTGTCTATCAAAGAAAAATCTTCTTCTTATTATTTACATTTACTTAAACATTGTCGTCGTCCATCACATTTAACTTTTTTATATGGTAAACATTTACGAATTTGTATATCAAATAAATTTGGATGTGAACATGATTGAAGAATTAATTTACCTGATATACATTCATAATAATGACAACAACTTGTAGAATCAATAAAACGAGCACCTTCATTTTTTTCTGTACATTTATTATTACCTATTTAAATAAATTAATTTTGAAAATTTTTCTAATCTTTCAGTAACTTCAAAAATTGATTATAGAGATTTAATTTCGATGTTTTTTTTTTGTTGTTGTTGTAATCATAACTCACATAAAGAATTCAGATAGTAACTTGAATAGACAAAATTATTTTCAACAACGATTTGAACGAAATAAAATCTTCACAACTTCTCTTAACATTTATGTAATTCAATCAAAAAATATTGTAAAGAGCTTGATCAATTCTCTGTATAACTAAAAGAAACTTTTATTTTTTGGTTCTGAATTAAAGTCCTTGCTAGAATTAAAGAGAAATGGGTGTAATGTTAATAACTTGATAATAGCAATAACTAGCGATCTGCGGTTTTCAGCAATCGAAAGAGAAGAACTTCGAACGTCTTTGTATTTGATACTATATAAGAGGAAATTAATTCAATGCCTATTCGAATAGATATGCATTTTTTTTGAATGTTTTATGACAATGATAGGTTTTAAAACAATTTTGTCTTATATAGTATCAGATAAAAAGACATCTGACGTTCTCCTCCTAGGACTGCTGAAAAACTACAGATCGCTAACTTTTGTCATTGTCGATTAATTAAGCTTACACTCATCTCTTTAAAATTCTGGTGCGGACATTAGGTTTTGAGTTTTCTAGTGATCCTTGGTTTTTGAAAATATCTGTAAAGATTTTATTTCCTTATTGAAAATAATTTTCTCTATTCAAATCACTATTTAGATTCTTCTATATGAGTTACCATTACGAGGAAAAAACAAATTGAAATTAAATCTCTATGATTCTACCGAAAAGAAATTTATACATTGAACATTTTGTATATAATCACAAGTTTGTTTTTCAGGATTATATTGTAATTGTGCTGGACAATGTAATACAAGATCAGTACCATGATAACAATCATGATAAATAGAACAATCATATGGATCTGGTACACGCCATGATTGTCGTGGAGGACATATTATTGATGGTTTATAAATATCGGATGATGGAAGTGAAACTGGTGAATCTGTTAGAATATAAGATGATGGATAAGTTGTATCTCGACGTATCCATGGAACATTACGAATAGTTGATAATGAAATAGACGGTGCTGGAGTGAGATTTTTTACTGAACCTGTAGATTTTCGAAGAAAAGTTATTAGAAAAAAAAGAAAAAAACTTTTTTCAAAGTAAATTTACAATCCGATTGTGCAGGCCAAACACACATTTTTTCAGCTTGTGACCAAAATAGACCTTTTTTACATAGTTTAGTTTGTGGTACGCCTAGAAAAAAAAAAAGTTAAAATCGATTTATTTCAAAATTCTCTATATGAACAAAGAAAGAATGACAGAATAATTCAATCATTAATGATGAAACAGAATTACTAAAAAACATTGACTTTAGAATCGATGTTTTGATTTATTTTGAAAACAAAAGAATATTATATACAACACTCGACAATTATAATTTAAATAAAATAAATATTTCAACTATTCTTCTTATAATTAAACTTTTATATAGTTTGTTTCTAATCAAATTTATGATCTTATATATTAATTAATCTCTAATCTTGTAATCTATGATATCAGAAATTATCATTATTTTTTAATAGAAAAATTTTTTATTGTCATATAAATAATAAATATTTTCTATGTAAACATTAATTGTAGTGATTGTAAATCGCCTAGACTTTCTTTTCCTCTAGTAAACAAACGATATGAATCTTTCTCTTTTCTTAGTTTAATTGTAAGAATTGTTTTATTCAATGTCACGTCTATTCTTACCATTTGCACAATAAGCATATTGTTTACAATCAGTTGGATGAGCTACATAGTCATTATCAACAGATTGACATAAATAATTAAAAATTGAACTATGTAATGAATTATTCTTAGAAGACAACTTATAATCTAAAATGAAAATATAAATTAAGATAATTTCTTTCAATTGATTTTCAACCTGATGGATAAAGAACATGTGTTATTGTTGTTGTTGTTGTTGTTGTTGTTATTCTAGCTGGAAGAGTATCTTCATACGATGTATGATTACAATTAACCTAAACAATTTTGAAAAAAAAAAACTATATTTCAATACAAAAAAAAAAAGAAGAAATTGTTATTACATTCATAGCCCAATCACATTCATTTTTAATTGGATTAAATAAAAGATCTTCTTTACAAGCTTTGACTGAATGTGTTGTACCAACACAAATATGATAAATCCAACAATCACCTTTATCCGGAAAGAAACCATCTTTTTCACATATAAAATTTTCAGTTCGAGCTACTTGAATAATAATAATAATAATAATAATAACTATATTTAAAATAAAATTATTTATTTATTTAATTAGAAAATAAAATACTAAAAAAAACTTACAAATATTTAATGAATAAAATAAACGTCGATTTGACCCGTATGACATGATGATAATTGAACATTCATTGTAAACATTTTTGATGAAATAACATTTTCTGTTTTTTTTTTTTAAATATTCTCTATTAAATCATTTTCAGAAGAAAAAAAAAATAATTTTGTTATAAATGATAATAAAGAAGAATTTTGAGACAAATTATTCTATTGTAGTAGCTTCAAATGTTTGACGCTTATTCTTTCTTTACATTGATATATGATGAACAAACAAAACGAACGAACGAACGAAACAAAGAGAAAGTTATTTAAATAAATGTTAATACCTATACCCGAACACTCGATGAGAAAATACTAGAAAGAGATGAAGGGCGATGAGAATAGAAGAATGAATCAAATTTGAAGAAAGAAAGAACAAGAAAAAAAAACGTATAATAGTAAAACTTAATAACAATAGATATTTATAATGATCTTGAAGTAATCTTTTGTTTCTTGTACATT